ATCTCTCCATGAGTATGTGTTTTTAAAATTCAAATTCAACTTTGTTGAGTTTTGTGTTTATCTCTCAATTTGATTTTTTAAAACATGTATTCACGTACTCATGGAGAGATAAACACAAAACTCAACTTTACTCAAGTTTTTCCACACACAACATTTCAAATCAAGGAGCCCATATATTTAAGTGTTTACAATAAAACTACCCACTACCTACATGTTGGATTGCTACCCATTACCTTCGTGAAGAGAGAGAGAGAGATAACTTCCAACTATCTTAATTATCCATACACCACTACCTATGCGTTGGATAACTACCCATTACATTCCACTTTTTTTTGCATCATCTATAACACTCCCCCTTGATGCAAAATCTTTTATACCAAGCGATTTTCTGAATTATGCAAAGTTCACAAATGAGAGTGCTTTTGTGAAACCTCCGCTGCTTGTTCTTTTGTAGGGCAATACTTCATCTCAATTAGGTCTTTCGACAACGCATCTCGGATGAAATGGTGTTTGATGTCTATGTGCTTTGTTCGCCCATGGAAAATTGGATTCTTGGTCATAAAAATTGCTGCTTTGTTGTCGCAGAGAATTTTAGTCGTCTTTTCTTGGACTTCACAAAGGTCTCCTAGCAATCTCTTGAGCCATATAGCTTGACATGCGGTTGATGCAGCGGCTATATACTCTGCCTCCAATGATGACAATGATGTAGTTGCTTGTTTCTTTGATGACTATGAGATAGCTTCAGAGCCAAGATTGAAAAGAAAGTCGGAGGTGCTTTTACTGTCATCTAAAGAACCTGCCCAATCACTGTCAGTATAGCCAATTAATTCAAAATTAGAAACATGAGTATACCTAAGTCCATAGCTTGATGTACCACAAATGTAACGTAGTATCCTTTTTGCTGCCCCCACATGATGCTTAGTAGGATTGTGCATAAGCCTTGACACAAGACTAATGACAAACATTATGTCAGGTCTTGTGTGAGTTAAATACATCAGCCCACCAACAAGGCTTTTAAAACATTTTGCATCAACCCTTTCAGTTCCATCTTCAAGTCTGAGCTTTTCATTTGCATTCATTGGTGTATCAATGATATTGCAACAAAACATGTTAAATCGCTTTAGTAGGTCTAAGCCATATATTTCTTGAGAAATAAAAATTCCATCCTCTTCTTGTTTCACCTCAAGACCCAAAAAATAATGCAAAAGCCCTAAATCAGTCATTTCAAATTCATGCATCATATTGTCTTTGAATTCTTTAATAAGTGACAATGAAGACCCAATATAAATGATGTCATCAACATAGACACAAACAATTAGAAATTCATCCATACCTTTCTTCTTCAAATATAATGTGGGTTCATTTGCACTTTTTTAAAAGTGATTTTCATGAAAATAACTGTCAATTCTGCTACACCATGCTCTCGGGGCTTGTTTATGGCCATAGAGAGCGTTCTTTAATTTATAGAACTTTTCTTCTTTTCTTTCAACTCTAAACCCTTCAGGTTGAGTTACATACACATCCTCTTCAAGATCTCCATCTAAAAAGGCAGATTTGACATCAAGTTGATAAACGGGCCATTGTTTTTGAGCTGCAACTGCTAAAATTATTCTTACAGTTTCTAACCTTGTAACAACAGAAAATGTTTCAAAGAAATCAATACCTAGTTGTTCTGCATATCCTTTAGCTACTGATCGAGCTTTAAGTTTTTGTACACTTCCATCAGCATTGTATTTTGTTTTGAATTATCCATTTAGCCCTATCGCAGTTTTCTTTTGAGGCAAATCTACTAAGTCCCAAGTTTGATTTCTTTCAATGGCCATCATCTCATCTTTCATTGCCTCTCGCCATTCCTCCTTTTCAACTGCTTCTTCAAAACTTGTTGGATCTGCAACAAAGAGAGCGAAACTACAAGTTTCATAAATTTCTTGTAAGGATCTAAATCTCCTTAGTGGGTTTTCTGAGGATGTGTTTATAGGCAAATCATTGCATACTTCTGTGCCATGATTATTTTCCAAATTCAATGGAAGTGCATAATTATCTTCCTTTATGGTTTCTCTCCAATCCAAACGACCATTTTCATCAAACTCAACATGACAACTTGTGATTAATTTTTTAGTTTTTGGGTTATACAACCGATACCTTTTAGATTTTGAACTATATCCAATGAATATACATTTCTCACTTTGTCATTCCCACTTTTTACGTAGTTCAGTATTGACAAATACATAGGCAATGCAACCAAAGACTTTAAAGTAACTTACATCAGGTTTCCTTCCACTCCATGCTTCATATGGTGTTTGATTTTGCAGTGCATTTGTTGGAGATCTATTCAACAAATAAACCGAGGTAGCTACAGCTTCTGCCCAAAAATCATTTGGAAGATTTTTTGCTTTTAACAAACTCCTTGCCATTTCAACAATAGTCTTGTTTTTTCTTTCCGCCACACCATTTTGCTCCAGTGTATAATGAGTGGTGAGTTGTCTATATAAACCATTTTCTTTACAAAAAATAAAAAATAAAAATAAAATTAAGAAGGCGATGCAGGAGCTCTCGGATAAAAAGTTGAGTGGACAGGATGGTTTTGTTTTGTGGGATACATATGGTTTCCCATGGATTTGACGCAGCTGATGGCTGAAGAGAGAGGATTAACCATAGATGTTGAGGGTTTTAATGTGGCCATGGAAGAAGCTAGGAAAAAGGCGGGAAATGCCAGGAATAAGCAAGTTGGGGATGCCATAAAAGTGGAAGCTGTTGCAACATCAAAGTTGCACAAGAGGGGAGTGTCTACTACTAATGATAGCAGCAAGTTTATATGGTTTCAGGATCACAAGAGTACTATCAAAGCAATATTCACTGGAGCCGAGTTTTGGGAGAGTGCATTTGCTGGTGCGGAAGTTGGCATTGTTTAGATAGCACAAATTTCTTTGCTGAACAAGTTGGTTAGATATATGACATTGGATCCATTGAAGGCTCATCTAGATCATTTCAAGTTAGTAATGTTCAGATATATGGAGGTTTTGTTCTTCATATTGGTTCTCTTCGTGGATCAAGTACATTCAATGTCGGAGATAAAGTAGTTTGTAAGGTTGACTATGGTAGGAGGACCCTCATTGCAGCACCTAATCATACCTAACAGAGGAGGCCTAGCATTATGTTGAAGAGGGAGATGACTCTGATGATGATGGCTTCGAATCTGATGCATATGATGAGGCTTACCCTAATCCTTTTGATGATAATGATATTGATGACTGAAGACGCTTGACTCTTGGTGTTGAGTCTTAGATTGTATAGTTTCTATCTACTTTTGTGTGTATGTTTTTATGGTTGTATCATTGTATGAAAATATGGATTATGGACTATCTGCTATCTTATCTACTCTTATTTTCTTATTTTTCTTATGGTTCTAGGCTGATCAGGTTCTGGGCGGCTAGGCCCCTTCCAGATGCTTAGGTGCCGCCCAGCATTTTTTGTAACACTGCTGGGAATTGTAGACAGGAATTCCTTGAATGCCTCGGAATTTTAAGTGTCATTTTATTTGCCTAGTGAAAAATTGAAGCTTGCCAAAAAAAAAATAAAAGAAAAAAGTTGCTTAATCACTTATCTAGATTATAAGATGATAGTGATGTGATGCCGGCTTGAAAGTGAGGTACTCTTTGAAGAGACAAACATACACTTGTTGTCTTTACTTTTAATGGAAAATAGGGCGGTCTGATTGTTTGCTTGTTTTGCTTGGATGATCTATTGTTTACATGACCGGCTATTTTCCCTTCACTTTAGGTAATTCACTGTTTTACCTTCACTTTTTTGGATAAGTTTCTATTTTCCCTTGATATATACTATTCTTAGAACTTAACACAAATAACTTCACTAGAATGTTGTGCATAGCTCTTTCTGGGGTGCCAAATTGTGACGTAAATGGGTATCATTTGGCAGGAGAAAATTATGAGAGTTCCCTATGGGAAGGACAAAGAGTTCTTTAAGTTTTCGTTGTTTGTTGTTTTTTGCAACCGCATTACTACGTCTGCTGTTGCTGGTGCCTTTGTGCTGATAAATTTTCTGGGCTTCAATTCTGTTTTAATGTGTTGAAATTTTTAATTGTTTGTGGTACAATCAAAATGTTTTTCTTTCTATAGGCAAGTAAAAAATCCTTGGATCCTGCAGCTCCAATGTACAAATACTTTGCCATTTCAATATCAAACTTTCTAACAACAACATGTCAATATGAGGTTTGTACTTTGCATTTCTTTCACTAGTGTGTTTGGCTCTGGTTGAGACTTTACCGTATTCTATCTTGGTATCGATTAATGTTTCACTACTTATTAAAAAATATAGAAGCCTTGGTAGCTTGGCATGAGTTTCTATTGTTGAAACAACCCAGTGACTCAGAGATGAAATGTATGCAGACACTCAAGTATGTGAGTTTCCCAGTTCAGACACTAGCGAAGTGTGCAAAGATGATACCTGTGATGGTATGCCTATGTTCTCTTGACCTTTAACTTCTTTATAGTTTGAAATTAATGACATCAATATGTACTTTCTATGCAATCCGTTCACTTGTTGGCCTAAAGTTCTGAAGTCCATGTGTCCTTTAGAGATATGTTGATGGCTATTGTTATCCTTGATCCTTTTCTCATAATATGTTCATGTGTACGATTTTCAGAAGAAAAGATTGATATCGAAGCATTATTTCCACTTTTTCCTTCAATCTATATTAAACATAAAATCCTTTACTTTGTCAATAACTTATTATGAATATATTAATGCAGGTTAAAGTTTAAAGGTGAACGAATCAGTAAATCTTTAGTGATAGTACAATTGGATGTATTAAGTGCAGGTTTAATGAGAATTTTTAGTGGTAAGCATAAGTTTAATCAAATAGTCAAAAGTTGTCATCATGCTGGATATAGACTTCAAGGCAGAACTGGTGAAAGAGAAAAGATCCTTTTCTTGTTTGTTTTCTAGAGAAAAAAAAATCCTTGACCTGAATTATACAAGCAATTGCTGCTTGCGAACATAGAATCCTGAGTTTGGTCACTACATTCGATGAGCTTATTTATGAGATGTCTACAACTTCATTCAGTTCTACCTTGTGCTTTAACTTTTGATGCAAATTGCATCCGAGATGTTTATTTGTTATTTATTTATTTTTTTGAAGAATTGATTTTGGGATGTGGGTTTATTTTTTATCTTTATTTGGGTTTAGTTTTCAGGAATTATTGCATTGGGGATAGAAATGGATTTTTATCAGTGGTTTAAAAAACGGATTGGTGCTCCGGATCGGGCACCCCAAAAACCCATCCGGATCGGTGAATCGGCGATACGGATAGGGAATCAGCCGAATCGGTTGGATTAAGCCTTAAAAAAAATCCAAAAAAATTATTAAAATTTATTATAAATATTGTTTTTTAGGAATCCAATAAGAAATGGTGATACCACATTATTAACTTTCATTTTTGTCATCAATATGTGAATATTGAGATTTTCTTTCCCTGTATGAACTTATATTAACCATTTAATTTAGATCGCACAAAAGAAATATCATAGAATTATCATGGATGAAGTGTATAATCATACATGGATTACAATAAAAAATGGATTAAATCGATAAAAATGGCCACCAAAATCTTTAATTGGCGGAAAATGCTAATCCGCTAAAACCCTAATATTTTTTGTATTACTTTTTATTTTTTGACAAGAAATACTTGTTGTATTACCTTTTTGTTTTTTGACACGAACTCTTTATTTTTATTTTTTTGCAAGAAATACTTGTTGTATTACTTTTTTTTTTTTTGACAAGAAATAGTTGTCATATTACCTTTTATTTTTTTTGAAAAGAACCTTTTATTTCTTTGACATGAACCTTTTATTTTTTTGACAAGAACGTTTTATTTTATTTTTTTGACAAGAAATACTTGTTGTATTACCTTTTTTTTTTTTTTTGGCGAGAGCCTTTTTTTTTTTGTTTGACAAGAAAAATTAATTTTTTTTTTACAAGAACCTTCTACTTTTTTGACAAGATATTCTTGTCATACAAGAGCCTTCTATTTTTTTGACAAGAAATTCTTGTCAAAAAAAAAAAATGAAGGTTTCTTGTAAAAAAAATTTGAAAAACGGTGAACCAAAAATTTTCTTGTCAAAAAAAAATAGAAGGTTTTTGTAAAAAAAATTAAAAATATAGAAGGTTCTTAGAATAACGGTGAACCAAAAATTTAAAAATGGCGCTGGTGAGAGAATTTGAACCGTGGACCTGCATTTAAAAATGGCGTTGGCAGGAGAATTTGAACCAAGGACCTTCACATTGAAAAAGGATGTGATAACCAAGTAGCCCACAGCGCCACTTCTGGCATTATCCACGTGATATAAAATTATTATACTATATTACCTTTTCAATCCAAGTACAACTCTCAAATCCCACATCGAAAAATTGAAAAGAGATGTTGTATAAATGTTTCCTTGGTACCACATGAGGATGCGTGTGAAGTGAGTGAAGCAGCATGGACATGTGGCACCGGGTCCCTGTAGCGAGTCACCGTGTTACTATAACGAGTCACACCGTGTTGCTTCCTGTAGCGACTCGTCATTTTTTCGCTCTAAACGCCGTTTCAGCTCTAGAACTGCCACATTTTCGGTATTTTGCAAGAATCGGCACGGGGTTGCCGATTCCCGTGTCGACTCAGGCGATTCTGGGTTGACTCGCCATTTTTAAACCACTGATGTTTATTTATTATCGTGGGTAAGGGTAGCGATCACTGATGAGCTTGTTGGGAATAACTTGAGGGTGACGTTGAGCTTATAAAAGTAGGAATTGGATTAGGGAGATGGGTCCTTTATTTGAGTAAATTGATGGTGTATCCTATTATAAAGGGATTTCTAGAGTGGGGCGTGGAATATGTGGGTATTCCTATATGATAGGGAAGTTAGAGAGACGTAAAGAGTAAGTCCTATGCTAGTGGGAGTTATTGGTCTTAGGGAGAGATTATAGGGAGATCACATGAATTTGAGAGAGAGAGAGAGAAAGAGAGAGAGATGTGAGGGGTGGAGAGAGTTTATTTTCATGAAAGAAGAAATATTTTCTTCTCATCCCTAGCTTGATTACAACCACTTGTTTCTTCCATTATTGCAGAGTTTTTTCTTTTTTAAGATCGAAAGAAGACCAGATTTAATTTTCCAAGTGCCTTTCGCATCAAACTTTATTATTATTTTTAAGTTATGTTCAGTTTAATTTTTTGAAAATGTTGACTTGTACTTCTTATGTCTACATTGAAATTGCCATTTTTTGGTTGACTTAAAAGTGAGATTTAATATCCATATTGTTGTTTTGATTTGTGTTTATTGATGAACTCATCAAATTGGGTTCATTAATGAAAATAAAATATAAAAACTTCAAATGGTCTAAAATGTTATAAGATTGTGCTTCAGAAAGTTTCTTTTTTCTTTTGATAGTTTACGAGTACAATAGCTTCACTAGGTGTACATTAAGTTGCATAGGCGTTGCAACCTAGAGATATACAAGGTTCACAGCTGTGAAAATGTCTGCAATGAATAGGACCTCTGATCTAACTTGACCATGTGATCAGGAATGTGCATTTCCACATGGAAAAAACAATAGATCCTCTTAGCTAAATAGATGTTTCTCCATAACCATGGTTATTTCTTATCTCTTGCTGCCCATCTAAAAGCATCAACTTAGTCACCCTCCCCCACCAAGGGGCTCATGAAATGGTAACAGAAACCCTAAGTTCCATCAAAGGGGATCCATCTGGAAGCTACCTTATATTGTCTCAATGTTTTCCTCTTTTTTCAAATTTTTAGTAGTTTTTCCTTCTCTACAATTCATTTATTTTTATTGCTCTTCTCTACTTATTCATGCGTGAAAATTTTTCAGATATGAAGAGTTTTGATTTATTTACTGCAAAATTCATGTTGGTTGCTATTGCTTTGATTTGTATATAGTATTTTATTGAATGTGTATGATATTTTTCCTTTCTCCTATTGTCTCCTTTGCAGCTTTTTCTCTCTTCTCATTTTGATGTATATGAATCTCGTTGTATGCACAAGCTGAGTGCAACTTGATGTATACTTTATTTTTAGATATACAATATCAGCAATGAACAACGAAATGCGTGGAGACAACATGTAGAAATCTGAGATTTGGCTGCTAGTACTTATTTAATCAGCACTCATTGATTTGTGAAGGGTAGTTGATTTCCTCGTCTCGGCTTGCTTGCGCATTCCAAGTTCTTGATTGGATCTTTGTAGTCTGATGAAGTAAATATATGATTTATTTGCATCATCATAGATTGATAGAATCATCTTAGGAATTGTGTTGTCATGGTATTATATTTTCCTATCATTTATTTGCATGCATAAATCCTACTAGAAAGTGATTTGTCTTAATATTTTAAATAGATTGTGCCGAATGTGATTTTAAGTTTTCAATGCCTTGGTTTTGGTTGATTCGTTCCTGCAATTCTAATTTATCATAAGCCTAGTCATCACTTCTTCATTAACTATTGTATGGCATTATCAATCAATATACCTAGTTTGTGACTGACCCTTTTTTTGAAGTGGATACATTGTTCCATTACGTATTATTTTGGGAAATTATCAAAAGTACACCTTAATTTTTGGATTATTGGAAATAAATCCCAAACTTTTCAAATACTCATCCATAATCTTTTTTTTCACTTTTTGTTTCTTTCACCAAACTAGCCTTCACGGTAGCCTTAGGACCGTGAATACATCATGGTAGATTCACTACTGTGATGGTCATGGGCGGTTTAATGGTTTTAGGCATCACAACACTTAAATAGCCGTGATGGTCATGGGCGGTTTAATGTTTTTAGGCTTCACAACACTTAAATAGCCGTGATGGTCGTTAAGAGGCATCACGCCTATGGACTATGGAAGCCTGCACCAATAAGCCTAATTTTGGAAGAATTTGTAAAGGTGTTATCATGGCCTCAAAAAGCATGTGAGAGTGACATTTGATACCCTAAGGATGCCAACCAAGTTTCGTCTTGATCAAACAAAGATAAAGCAGATCAGAATGAAAATTGTATTTTGTTATGCCACTCTCTAGCATGCCCAAAAATGCTTCATAACTAGAGCTATATTGCCAAGGTCTTTCTTGATCCCCAGACCACCACCAATGGATTTAGAAGGTAAAAAAACCCCAAAATACCAAATTTCAACTCATTTGGACATTTTTGGATCCTTCTAGGCCCAACTTACCTAAAATGGGCATCTTTAACATTTCTTCAAAAAAAAAACTTGCCTAAAATGGGTGGGACTTACACTATTTTTACGCAGCCTCGGTGAACGATTTTCCATTTATGGAAAATATTTTTCTTGAAAACGAGAGTTCTTTAGGGTCATAACTTTTTCTTTTAGAGGCCAATCAAGTCGAAATTTTAGTATGTTGTTCGTCTCATCAAGATGAATGTTTTGCCATATGACATGGCTCGAG